TAGACCCTACACAGACCTCATTAGTATTGTGTGAAATATAATAGAAATCACTAATCTTGATATGTGAATTGATGCTGTAAATAAAGAATGTTGACTGCAAAAAACTAGAAAAACAAAGCAAATCAAAGCACGCCAACCAACAACCAATTAAACGAACAAACCACATGTGGATGCGAAGAGGGAGAGGGACTGATCGTTACTTTATTCAAACTAATAAGGTCGGTGTGATTAGTTACTTGCAAGTAAAATGATATGTTTTGCTGCTCTTTTCAACGGCAGCTGTGCATCTATTGATCTTAATGCTGCTGCCAGATCACTGTCGAATCAAGTTTCTTTCTTTCTTTTGTTTTATTCAATGTATGTATGCTAGGTTTGGGTGGCTTTTCAATGGGCCCCATTCTCTTCAGGTCTATGATTTGGAATCCAAGAAGCCCTTAATGCATTTCCAAAAGTGTAGTCGATGCACAGCAGATTGCAGTCACAACAGAAAGCGGCAAAGATACTTTTAATCAACCGTAGAGACATACTGTTGAACCACTGAGGTAATATAATACAGCTGTCTGCCAGCAGTTCTCTCACTGCCATCAAAGGTCAGTAATCTCAAGACAGTTTCACGCAACATTTGTTTACCAAAGTTGAATCTGAATGCTTCTTTGCCATCTTCACAAAATCCATTCATAATGTGATTAAGTGAAAACTCACTCATTTTTGGCACAAATTGTTGCCATTGTGACAGAGCCGTAAAAATGAATGTCTTTGCTCTTAAACATGATGTAATCCAACAAATATGGGAAGTGTGGCTTCAGACAAATACCAAAACAGTTGTGTTTTTTTCTAAAGACCAGATATGTCGTTGCAACGTCTGAACTAAATCAATGACCTGAACAATATGATAAAATACTTCCCAAGTCAATATGCTTAACGACCATTTCAAATCTGAACTCCTAACTCCAAATCAAATCTATCAATAGTTATTATCTTAACTTGTTAGCAAACAAATGCCTATTACACATTCAGCAGACAGGAAGCAACATCAGCATTCATTTTAGGTCGTGTTTTTGTGCACCTGATGAATAGAAGTACAACTTTCACACTCCTTTTATCTCTGTTTTGGTCTCCACCCACTCCAGCGACAAATCTCTTTAGCTGTTTAATGTTCCACTTTCTTCAACAGCTAGTTGCTAACTTTATCAGCCTTCTATGCTGAATTAAACTGCCTGATGTTGACAGATTAAAGGTTAATGAGAGGGATGAGACTCAACCAAACAGTAATTGTATTCATCAACACGAATTACACCTCTTACATTACTAATACTAATTTGATTTATTTTTTATATAAAAACATAAATTAATGGATCTTAAGACGTTACAATTTGTCATCCAACCCTTTTGAGATTTTGGCAGCACACTGATCTTCTGTATAACATCTGGTTGTGTGCTGTCGATTATACATACAGACATGCAAACATGTGTATGTGTGTGACCGAAAGTGTAGGTTAGCATGTTAATGACTACCAGGCTCGTGTTACTAGGCAGGATGCACAGTGATTCCATTATCATTGATTAGGTGACAGAATGTGTGCCAAAAGCATGTCGGTGTGACACACACTGTAAAGGGATTAGAAATATGGGAGCCAAGAAGTGTGTCTGTGTGTGTGTGTGTGTGTGTGTGTGTGTGTGTGTGTGTGTGTGTGTGTGCGTGTGCGTGTGTGTGTGTGAGGACATTAGTCAGAGTGCTTGTCCTATCAGACGGGATATTACTGTACTCACTATGGAGGTCAGTGGAACGATGAGTCTGTGTGTTTGAGAGAGAATAAGTGCCTCGATGTCATCTTTGCCACTCATATGATCATCTACTCACATTAATGGTGCTGTTAAATGTGAACACATCTATTTGCAGCGGTAAGCAGCAGTGACACACAATGTTTTACAGTGTATCTTTAGGGCTCTAATGGTTGTATCCTATAGCCAAACGGCCAAAGAACAAACACAGCAACATCAAGAAAATGCCTGTGGCGATGCGGATAGTTGGACCCAAACACTGGACTAGAGGTAGGTGAAGGTATGAATGTTTAAAGTATGGTCAAAAGGCAGAGTAACAATGGTGGAGGCTTAAAAACACAAAAAAATACTTCCAAAGAGGATGAACTGAATGACCTTTACTGTAGCTGAGAAAATGATGTGGTAAAGAGCCGGAGAATAGCCGAGGTTGATTTGAAGGAGAGGTGATGAGCGGGTTGCAGGCAGGTGTGATGTCAGGCCGGGTCCAGGTGGGTGATGGAATAGGAATGAGACTCACAGAAACACATGTGTTCGACCAGAGAGGCAAACTGGGAACATGGAAGACACAAGAGTAGTTTAGCTGAAAACAATTAGCAACAAGATGCTCTGCAGAGATAAGGGGACTGCAGAGTTTGGTGATAATTATTTGATTCTACCAGTGACGCTTATCAAATTCAAGATGTCATTGTATCAATTGTTAAAATAAAGATATTGATTAAAGCTGCTTTCCTTCTTAACTTAATGAATCGTTTTTTTACCAAGACCAACTGATCCTCCCCAAGATTCACACCTAATGGGCTCCGCAGTGGTCAGCGCAGCAGCTACCCACTGCTAACCAGCAACCTCGTGTTGGCAGTACACACACACACAACACACACTACAACCAGTGAATACACAACTACAGGGAGTCAGCTCTGAAGCCACATTGCCCCCTACTGGTTGAAAAAAGAGAATTGCCCTTCATTTTCAGAGGTATTTAGATCTTTTACTAGTCACTCACTTAGAATAATGTAGTTCAATAGAAAGTGCAATATGTTCCTCCAAAATGCTGCAAAGGTGAACTTATATGTTACATTTAATGGAAGTATTAAGAGTAGAAGAACAAGCTTCCTATGATGCAATTTAAGTACAATGCTTGAGTACAGGCTGGATACTTACCAACGTTATTCATTGTTTCCTCTTCTCCTTTTTAGTATGACTGCTTTATTCAATATCATGCCTCCACCATCGACTTTTACTCATAATCTCTTAAAAATAAAGGAAGTCATTACCATAATGCTTGTTTCCTGGTTTCATGGAGAGTTAGAGCAGCAGCAGAGTGGCTCCAACCATCACATCCTGTTCTGTGGGAATCAGCAAAGTGGATTAAGAAGCAAGCACTTGCAAAGCTTTTGTATCCGACATTATGATTTGATTAAATTCAAGCAAAGAAAAATAATAAGCAGAAGTTAAACATTCAAACTCTCGAAATATCAATGGCAAACAGACAAGTAAGAAGCTGCACAATATAGTGAAAAGTATGCAAACTATTACACATTAGTTCATTAACTCACAGTCAATGTTCCTGTGTATCCGAAAGGTGTTTGAGGTCAGGGCCAATTCAGAACGAGCCTTTGCCACAAACTGGAAGCATACTATTGTCTAAATTAAAATGTAGTATCATCAAGGCTTCCTCCCTTAAAAACAGACATGGACAGAGGTACATGGAGACTGGAGACAGACGGAGGGAGAAGCCACATCCAGTCAGGGGTGGCTGAGTTTTACTGCTTCCTCGGGCTCCTCCCGGACTAGTATTGATTATTCATTTCTCATTGACTGTGCAGATGTGGGAGAGCTAAACTGCAGAGGAAGGAAGAGAGAAGAAAGCCATTATCCTCTGAGTCCGATAACATCTTAACTATGGTCGTAACACCAGTCAATGAAAGCAAGGATGTATTCATCTATCCATTTTTATTTATTACACTTGTATTACATGCTTTTCACCAAGGGAAATGCTACATTTAGTTGGTCTTTCTTATCACCTAATCCCTAAACCAACCTTGTGTTGTCACTAGTCTGCTTGTTAGACCGCTATTAAATCATATCTAAATCACTGCAATTACTTTGTTAGAGCCACTATTTTAAAATGTGTTTTAAATGACTGCGACGGCACACTTTGTTTGTAGAAAGATGACACAACAGCGGAAATGTTGTTCATTCTGTGAGATGTTTATCACATGGTCGGCAGGCCAGATAGAACCATAACTTTAAGATTACCATCATGCAATGCCAAAGACCTAAAATGAACTTAAATACTAAATAGGTATTAGGTTGATGGCTCAGAAGTGCTTTAAGCTTTATATGCTTATGTCTACGTGACAACATGTTTAATGCTCAACATCTTACATTTTCTAATAAGCACTAAACACAATGTAGAGGGGAGGCTAATTTAATTTAGTTTGCTGGCATTTGGTCATGCACCAAAGTAGGCTTTTAGAAAAATCGGATAAGTAAGATAAAAGTTTTAAGGAAGCCATTACAATTCATCCTGCGTGTGGGAAGATCAAATTTCATGACAGTGCATCCAGAAGTTTCGGGACCACAGACCCACGCTGCTAGCATATTAACAGACGTGTATTTCTCCCGGACCCAGCCACCAAAGGTTGAACTCTCTTGTGTTTTCTGAGAGTGCTGAAGGAGCTCAGGGTGTCCCCAGGCTTCAGCACTGACGCCACACAGCTTCAAGATAATTTGACTCTGTGACTCGTTTGTAACTGAGGGAATATTCATTTGGGAGGAAGGGAGAGAGCAAGTGTTTTAGTTTTCAAGACAGGAAGAAAAAACACTTCTGTGAGTCTGACTGTTGGAGATGGAGTGTGTATTGTGGGCCCCAGAGGGTAAAGTGGAAATTACTTTGTCTTTGACAGCAAAATACTGTTGAAGAGCCTCGGGCTTCTTCCTTTCCCCGTCTATCTCTGCTGCTCCACTCTCTCTCCCTCTCTTTCTCATCTCCTGTTTCAGAACAATTGTTACATATAAGAACAGTATGATTAAAAAACACTGGCAGAGCAATAAACATGAATGTCTAAACAAAGGGTTGGAAAAAAGAAAAATGAAAGTCTTTACTGCTTTAAGATCCAACAGCTTATAAGAATTGGAGATGTTTGAATTGATTTCAGTGGCCAATGTAATAGAACCAGATGTACTGGGAAGCTCATGGGTTAAAACAATGTCCTTTAGATATTTATAGTTCAGTTTATTGTTCAAATGACAGAACATTAATTTGAGCTTTGTGTCAAGATAATAAAGATTGCTGTAATAAAATGCATACATCCACACAACCATTTGACATTTGAATGTTTTAGCAATTCAACATGTGGTGTAACAAGCGGAATATGATTAAGTATTGACAGTGTGTAAAATATTTTTTTCAAAGTAACAGATTAAGGGGAACATTTCGCAACGTTAATGATGTTGTTTTACAGTGTCTGAACAATGATCAATAACAGAAATGGTCAATAATGGTATAAAAACATGTGGAAGAAACAGTCTGGTGATTGTTAAAGACCATATTTCTAAAAGTCCCATTCTACTTGCAACATTAGGGAGCCAAGATTATGTTAAAATGGGTCTTTTCTCTCATCCTTTACACCCCAAACTCTCTCTCTGTCTCGCTCACTAATTACAACAACCCGTCAGCCTCCCCCTGGTTGCTGCAGCGATCGGTCGTCGTCATGGCAACCCCAGTGGTCTGTCTGGCTGGCTGGCTGTGGGGGTGTTATCAGGCACGAAGGTGAGTGTGAGCCTCTCCACTCACACACAGTTTAAAAAGGGCCGGAAGGAGAAAAACAGAGGTTTATTGTCCTAAAGATCAAAAACACAAATATACACGTTGTCGGTGCGGGGTCTTTACATGTCCTTTTTCCGGCCGACAACGTCCTCCCAGGATCCAGCCTACTGCAAGACAGACCAGAACCAGGTTTCAGTGACTGATTACCAAATTCTGATCAGCTGTCTGGTCCTCGGCCGAGCCACTGCCATCACTCCAGCAGCCGGCGCCCTAACCACACCCCGCTGCCAGTGAGATAAGAGTTAATTTCTTCTTTAGTAGGCCTAGATAAAACAGTTGCTGGTCTCTGTCAGTGAGACATTAGAACCACAGGATAGCGGCGGTGACACGTAGAGGCAAAGAAATACACAGTTTGAATATTTCTATCAATATAGATTTTTAATTTTCCATTAAAAAAAATAAATAAAAAAAATCCATAATATGCGTTAAATATCATATTCCAAAACCTACCAAATCTGCAAAGGAAAAACTGGTTGCATGAGGACTGTATTGAGAATTTGATAGTCTTATAGCGCAAATACTGTTTAACAGTTTTTTGGAATGAGCAGTTGCTTTCGAAAAAGATGCACGTTTTTAATCGTTATTTGCGCAGTATTATTAAGTAGATATTCTCTAATCACCTCATCAAGAAAAAAAAATACCAAACATTCAAGTTTTCAGCTTCTCAAATGTGACTCATGTCGTTTAGTCTATTATTTCCTTAATCTTTTGTTCTGATGCAACAGAACATTTGTGCAACATTTGTGCAACATTATTGCACAAAACAAGCCGAGCAGGATGCTAGGGACAAGTGAGATGAGAAGGAAAGAATAGTTGCTCAGTTTTAGATTAGCCCTGAAACTATTGTAATTAACAGTATGATAGACCATCAACTTTTTAGTTTCATGTGAGAAATTCGATAGGGGAAGAAGGCTGAAAATACAAAAGGGACTGGATGATTGGCAATCTTCCCAGAGATAAAAACACAAAACATGGCCTCTTTCATTAAAGTCAGCACACACCATGTACAGAAGGCACAGGATCACTTCCTCACTCAACTGCTGTTCAAAAGCAGACAGGATTTCAAGGTCAAAATCCTTGAATGAAAAAACTGGATTATTTTCACAGACACCTTTGAGGGTTCCCACAGGAGAGAAGCACCTGGACAGTGGCCCCCAGGTCATTTGACTTTCTGACCCTGATTTAAAGTATGGATAAGTACAAAAACCTCTAATGAGTGATTAAAAATAACTTGTCTTTCAAAGTAAATCCTCCACTTTGGCTTTATTGCAATTTTTATTAACTTCATATTAAGAGACGTGTCAACATTTCTTGGATAACAAGTATAAATGTTAAAAAAAAAAATCTATAAAATCCTTGAGTGCAAAGAACATTTTACAATGAAACTCAGAAACAATCAAAACAGCATGAGGTGTAATTAGGAAATTGAGACACCTAACCACCAAGAAGATACAAAAATAACGGTTGGATATTTGATATTTAGAAAAGTCCACAGACCTCATCTACACCCGCACTCATCCACCACCATGTCCTGGTAGTGCCGAAGCACCACGTTGTCGTTGTTGTCGTAGTACAGCATGGAGATGGGGGCGAGGCGGATGGGGACACAGCAGGGCTGGGGGGTGCCGCTGGGGTCCAGGGAGTGCACCAGGGTCTGCAGGATGGCGTGGTTGGTCCCGTTCAGACTCTCACTGAGCGGGAACGGGCACTCGCCGTGGCAGTAGTTGGCCATGTAGCCCTGCGGGGCGATGATCCAGTCCTGCCAGCCCACGTCCTTGAAGTCTATGTAGAGGCGGCGGGCCTTGCACACGTTGCTGGGGGTCACTGGGAGGTGGATGGCGTTCCTTCTTTGTCTGGTGCGACACTGGTGGGGGTTCAGGGAGACCGCCACCAGCATGGCCTGAATCAGTGGCAGGGCGAAGGCTGTTTCCAGAGGAAGGGAGTTCCCAGGATGAAAAGGAAGAAGCTCTTTCGCATCTACGCTGAAAGGTAGGAGCTCCAAAACCAAACCGTAGTTGCGTCCCGGTTTGCGCCAGCTCTCTGCCAGGGAGGTGAGGTCCAAGGTGATGGAGGAGGGCTCAGGCTGCAGCTGGACCGACTGGGACAGCAGGAGTCTGCGGTTGGCCTGGGGATTGGCGCCCCTTAGCGTGGCTCGAATCACTGTATACAGAGACACACTGAGGGTCCGTGGCCCCTGCAGGAGCTCCGCAGAACTGAAGGGCTTCCAGTGGAACTTGATTTCCAGCTGAGCCAGAGACAGCAGCTCCACAGGCTGCAGCATGGACATGTTGAAATAAAGCTGCTTCTCCAGACAGGCCTGACAGCTGCTGCTCCAGCCAGACACCAGCCTGCCTGCAACACATCAGCGGGGAGAGGAGCATTTTAACAGCAGGGGTTTATAAGTGGAGATGGCTGCATGATAACCTAAATTATAGAGAAGAATAATTTGTCATGACCAATGACTTCTCATTCAAACAAACACTGCGGTTGTACTCACTTTGCATTTTTAGCAGTTTTTACTAAAGCACATTTGCAGTATAATTCAAAACAAACGTTTATTGTCTTATTTAAAATAAACGTTGACAAAAAAATGAAGACTGTTTGCACTCCTGAAAAACATTTTGATAAGCAATACATTTACTCAAACTCAGGTCCAGAATAAATAAGTAATTCAAAAACTGCATCTTTTAATTAAATGCAAAAACATATTTAGTGAGCTGTTCCTAAAGTTGGGGCTGGTGAATGCACATATAATTTAGTAAATGTTCTCCTACATTTATTGATATGTGTATTGTACTGGCTGTAGAACAAACTGGTCATTTTAAAAAGACAAACATTTGTATTATATGAAGATGTGGTGTAAACATTTTTAGAACTGGATATTTAAAGCAATGCAGGTTTTCTGCATATGATTTAGGAGTCCTGGTTATGTGTAAGCAACTACAGTACACTTCAAACTTCTAGATTATGGTTTTATGAGCACAATTGTCCTCTACATATAATTCACATTACACATCATTTTACCTTGGTCCTGAACGTATCGGATGATGTTGCCGCGGACTCCGTACTCTGACACCGTGCAGGGGTCGCTCTCCCGGGCCTTCATGTTCTCTGACCTCCGGAACATCCTCCAGACCGCGGAGGGGACATGGCGCCGGGCCTGGTGGCTCCCCGCCGGCTGAGGCAGCCCGGAGAGCCCCAGAGAGCCGAGGAAGAGCCGCTCCTGGGTCTTCATCTCCTCCACATGTGAGAGCGTATACACACCGAGGAAACACACCGCTAGCAGTAGCAGCACCACGAGAGTCATGTTTGGCCTCATGTTGGACTGCACTTCCTCTGCTGCTTCCTCACCTGAAACGCTGCTCCCAGTGAGAGGGACGTTTGATTTAACCTGTGAAACCTCCCGGTGTGCAGCTGCATAATTAGCCGATATGTTAATGAGAAGCGGGCAGATAAGCAAGTGATTAGGTGAGGGTGGGTGGTGGGAAGATAGAGACTGATCTCAGGTCAGGTAGGGAATCAACAAATGGTGATTTCTGACACCAACAATAAAGTTTGCAAAACCGAACATGGAGTTAGTTTGTTTAAACATTGTTGAATAATGTTTTGGTGAATAGTAATAATTATACCAACGTCTCTCCTCCATTAATGGCATAGTTGTAGGCTATTCACCTGCCCTGCCCTTGGACCATTAAAGGCTGAATCTGTATGTCCCCATGACATTTTAGTTTACCACCACACACAACATATATGGAAAACGAAAGCTCTTAAAACTAATTTATTGATCAAATAATACATTAAATAAATAAATCATATTAAGAGTAGGGTTGCTTTGTCGGTTGAGTTAATATATTTAATCAAAACTTTCAAAACATTCAACAATTATTTAGCTGCCCCCGGGGAGCAAAGCCCCCCTGCAGTAGATTTGACCCATTTTACAAATATTACAAAATAATGACTTAATATCTCAAGAATGACTTAATTTCTCGAAATAAAGACTAAATATTAGCTGGTCGGGATAGCTGGTTTAGCTGGTAAAAGCTGGTGGTCACAGTGGTCTAGCTGGTCAGGATAGCTAGTTTGGTCACAGTGGTCTAGCTGGTCACCATTAGCTGGTCGGGATAGCTGGTTTAGCTGGTAAAAGCTGGTGGTCACAGTGGTCTAGTAGCTGGTCACCATTAGCTGGTCAGGATAGCTGGTAAAAGCTGGTGGTCACAGTGTTCTAGCTGGTCACCATTAGCTGGTCAGACTTGTATGATCTTGAGTAGAACTTTAGCTGGGATTACTTGATGGTTAAGCTGGTCATATATGATGATGAAACACTCTCACCCAATTGCAGTAGCTCAATCTATCATTTCAGATCAGAGCACCTACCTTAGCAGAAAGGTACCAGAATGTATAGAATGTATTGTCTGTAAATAAATACTCATACATCAAATGATTAGAAGCAGGAAAATAATTTATAACACACAATGAACATTAACACAAATTTGAAAACATTTTCAAAACACCCATTACTTCATATTGTTAAGCAATTTCCTTCAACTGTTTCTTTCCGCTTTTCACAAGGTCCTGTATTTTTTGTGAAATGTAGTAATCGGCCAACTTTTCCCTCTCTGTCTTCTCCACGTTTTGTGAATTCAGCCATCCTCTGAAGCACTCTTGAAAAGAGAAAGGAAAAACAGATTAACTTTTAGCTTTGTGTTATTATTACTTAAATATGTGCACTGTGAGATGAAAAAGAAAAATGTAACAAATTTAGTTTTGAACATTCACTGTGATTGGGTCTATTATCCACGCAATACACCATATTACATTTTGTTCTTAATTTACATTATTTAATTTCATATTCTGTTCTTGTAAATATCATATTCTATTATATTAAATGTATATAAACTTTTTGAACTACTTTTTATTTTGTATTTTTGTATTTTATTGTATATGTTGCATTGTTGGAGGAGCTCAGGTCAGAAGAATTGCATTGACATGTCTACACTGTAGCTGCTGAGCATATGAGAATAAAACCTTTGAATCTTGAATCCAACACTTTTTTCAGTGGAAAATCCTAAATTGTAGGATAGTTTGGCCATAATAATGCTTTTATGATTACATTTCTAGTGAGAAGTGTATATTTTACTTTCAGAATCTACCTCCAGTGGATGTGTAGGATCTACACAGGGTATATACAGGAATCCTGAAGTCAAATGTAATACCCTTTAAGACCTTTTTTAAGACCCTTTCCATACATTTTAAGACCTCATCGCTACTTCGAGTTTTAACCGGTTACATTGGCGACACACTTTACCTCACATTTACTATATACAGTATTGATTGTCCTTCCTCCTTATCTTCCAACCATTTGGATGCAAACTTGCATTTCCCCATAACGATGTTGTTTAACAACCGGCGTAAACGGACCTTCGCGCGCTATCAAGCAGTGAGCGTGCGATGTCCTGTTCAGATGACATCAAATCCAACGGGATGCCATAAATAAACTACACAGAATCACACTACACACCTACGCAATGATTACATTCAGGCAAACTGTAGAATACAACCTCTTTGGACAATTTATATACTTATTGAAAACAAGCTACAAAATGTAATACTTGGAAAATGCCGTTTAATACTTTGAAATAGCCTTAATTTTCGCTAAATTGATTTATCAACTTTTAATACTTTTTAAGACCCCGCGGACACCCTGCTACAGTATGATAGATATATTACTTTACACCCGGAAGTATGTATTGTCATTCTTATTGTCGATAAATTGAGGGATATACGCTATATTTTATTAACACCAGTATGTACTTTATACATCCACCTCGAGTGTTTGTCTCTGCACCGGAAATAATTTAATTTTAAAGTTCAACCGCATATTATATAGACTATATCAGCGCCACACCTGCGTAACACATGGTGCCTCTTGTCTGAACAATTTTTTAAGCGATTTGTAATCTATTCTTGTCGACTTGCAGCCTAAATACAAAGATAACTCCACTCTCCTACCACTGCTTACCTCTAATGAGTCTTGCTAAAACTAGTGTCCGAGTCATGGGGTCCAGAACTGACTGAAGACATGTGGAACAGAGTACATGCATGGTTCGATGTACAGGAAACTGGAACTTTGAACAGGTGTTTTCATCTTTTCTGCCTGAAGATTCACAAGTTCTTGATCAGGTGTTTGATGTGGGCTGGCATGATCCTTTCTGCAGCGATGAATAAAGAAAACAAAGAAAACATTTTTAATAATAGTAATGATGGTAACAACAATTATATTAGTATAACTATTTATATAGCACTTACACAATTGCAAAGTGATTCTCCCAACAAAAATAAAGAACAAAACAATATCAACAATAAAAAAACAAATGATTATAGGAATATTAAGAGACAAAAAAATTATAAACATTCTGAGAGGCCGACTACAAAAGGTAGACTCAATGGCTCTTGATGACATCAATGCGCAGTCCCAATAGATGCTGTTGTATAAAAATAAATAGATTTCTTCTATTTTGTGTTGGATGATTTGTTTTATTGATTGCTGATGGATGTATATATATAGGGTTTATTGAACAGCAGTAAAGCATTAAGTTGCTAAATTAACGTACACTGAACTGTAAAACAACTTACCACTATTTAGGAAAGGCTCTGATCAGGAGGGTTGACTAGTAGGACAGCAAAGAGGTGGAGGAGGTCTATGTACAACCATTGGTAGATGTTACACCTGAAAGAAATATAAGGAAATAAAAGAAGACAGGAGTACAAACATCCTCTTAAAGGTGGGGTAGGTACGTTTGAGAAACCGGCTCGAGATACACTTTTTGTTATATTCCATGGAATGCTCTCAACATCCCGATAGCAATGAAAATCTTAAGTGCTTTGACAAAAAATCCATTAAAAAATGTCATCTGTGGAAGCCGTAGTACTGTAAAAAGCATGACCAATCATTTTAGCCGGCCCGGCTAAAGTAACTGGATGGCCTACCTGCCTGTCAGCCTTCCATCTGTGCACAAACTTATCTCGTGCCCTCATTGGTCATGTGCGCATTCGTGTGTGTTGGAGGAGGGGCTCTGTAAGGAAGTGGCAGATTTTTTCCGGTTGTGTATTTTCAAATTCTAGCGCACTCGAGCTGGTTTCTCCAAAATGACCTACCCCACCTTTAAGTAAAAGACCAAATCATGTCAAGCTTTAACCTGAGCCTGTTTTTTCAGTCTTTACAATGCACTGTTGGAAAATACCTTCCAAAGGCTAAATTCAAACTCAATACCATAAATAACTGGGTACCAAAGTGCTTTACCTGATAGAACACGTTCCACATGGAGCAGCAACCATCCGGCTCGGCCTTTTGCTGCATATCATCTCCTCCCTCTCCACTGTTTCCATTAGATCTCTACTGTCCAATAAAACTGAAATTCCCCAAAAAATCATATTAAAAAAGTTAAAAACAATAACTTGCTTTTGGCATTGAAATGGATTAGAATCTCACCTTTTTCCTGGATGTTAGGAAGGCCAGGAAGTTATTCCCTTCAAGTCCGCAACCAGTCATAGGAGTTCAAATGCAAAGCCTGAACGATGACAAGAGCAGGAGACTTACATTTTACAATTATATTTTTAATTAATAACAGAGCAGTGTGTACATAGGCCCTGTACGACATGCAGAGAACAGATCAAATCCCCTGACAGAATCACACACTTTGGTGATATCCTCTTCTGATAATGTTTCATTTTTTAGCAGCAAAGTAATTACTCAAAGTATATGTCAGACCCAACTCATTTACAGTATGTTTTGCATCTCCTCAACAATGGTCTGTATCATTGAGTAGAACAAAACTGTCCCTTGTAGTGCAGAGAGATAGGAGTCGGAGGCGGTGCATCGAAGGTGAAAAGTGGTGCTTTAATGAGCAGCAGACGGACATGTTGTCGGGTCGCAGCCCGGGAAGAAGAGAAAGCGAAAGGGAGGAGGACACAGTATATACCCCGGAGGTACAGTAATCATTAGTGTCCGTGCGGAACAATACCCCCAACCTGTAGTTCCTTGATTGAATTATGTAACCCCAGTGTATGAATCAGTGATCACTACACAAGCCCCCCCAGAATTCAACCATGGACACAATCCTCGCGTCCGGGAGGAAGCACCACAGGGGTCGAGGAGGGTGGGGCCGCAGGCGAGGGCCGGGCCATGGAAAGGGCCGCTGGAAGGGGGCCGCAGGAGAGGGTAGGGGCCCCAACAAGGGCGAGGGCATCCCCACCGGGGGGTGGGGGGCAGGCCGGAACGGGCCGTCGTCAGGGGGCCGCAGAAAGCAGGGTCGCTGTGTCGCGACACGGGGGCGGGCGTGAATATCCCGGTGGTCCCCAGCAGGGAGGAGCGCTGCCCGGCCGCAGGCAAAGGCACAGCGGCGGCGGGCACGAAGTCCCCGGAAAGAAGGAGCGGTATCCCCGGGGGGCAGGAGCAGCATCCCCGGGAGGAAGGAACCGTGGACAGGGGAGAGGCCAGACGGGGTCAGACGGGGCGACGTCCGAAGCCGCCGTCGAGGCGAACCGTGAGCCGCGGTTAGAGGAGAGGCCAGGCAGGGTCCGGGAGTGCGCCACCCACAGGCCGATGAAGGCGTGAGCGACGTCCAAAGCCGCTGCCGAGGCGAAGGAAGAGGCCAGACAGGGTCCCGAAGCGCTCCACCCATGGGCCGATGAAGGCATGGGCGACGTCCGAAACCGTAGAGTCGAGGCGAGACGGGGTCCAGAAGCGCGCCACCCACGGGCCGAAGAAGGCATGGGCGACGTCCGAAGCCGCCGTCGAGGTGGTGAAAAAGCGAGAGGGTCCACACGAGGCCGACCAGAGATGGTCGAACCTCCTCTCAGGCACCAGAAAAAAACTCAAAAGGGTCGTCCTGTTCACGATCAAAAACAGGTGGGCGAAATTGTGAGAGGATCCACACGAGGCCGACCAGACTTGATCGAACCCCCTCTCCGGCACCACAAAAAAACCAAAAAAAAAACAGTCGGATGTCGATAGCCAAGGGATGTCGTTAGCCGCTAGCTGCTAGCCGTTAGCTGTCGTGGCTAGCCGTTATCGACGGCCGTTAGTCGCAGTCGTCATCGTCGGCCCCAGAGCCTCTGCTAGGCGGCGTGCCCCCACCAGGGAAGGCGCCGCAGCGTGTAGTGGCCAGCACCTCAGGGGTAAATCGCCGGGCGGCCAGGAAGAACCGGCTAGCTCCTTCGGCTAAAGCGCGGGGCTCAAAACTAGCCATGTTAGCTAGCGCAGCCTGGACATGCAGCCGCATGTCCCGAAGAAACAGCTCCACGAGGTAGAAGTCGGGTTCTTCCACACCTAGCAGATCGTGCATCGTCTCCTCGTAGTCGGAAGGCTTGCTGTCTTCCAGTGCCGAGACGATGCGGGAATGGCGGGCGACGTCCTCAGCCATTCCGTGGGGCGCACCGAGCCTCAGTCCGTGTGCACGTGGCAGCCACGGACGTCTCCAAGAATCCCCGGCATTTCGAGAAAAGCTGCGCTTTTTGCCGTGTTCGGTTCAGTCTCGGATCCTTCGGGAGACTTATGTCGGGGTCACCAATGTAGTGCCGAGAGATAGGAGTCGGAGGCGGTGCATCGAAGGTGAAAAGTGGTGCTTTAATGAGCAGCAGAGACGGACATGTTGTCGGGTCGCAGCCCGGGAAGAAGAGAAAGCGAAAGGGAGGAGGACACAGTATATACCCCGGAGGTACAGTAAGCATTAGTGTCCGTGCGGAACAATACCCCCAACCTGTAGTTCCTTGATTGAATTATGTAACCGCAGTGTATGAATCAGTGATCACTACACCCTACAATTTCAGGTAGATTAACACACATTTGTAAGAAAAGTTTACAATGAAGCACAAAAACCCTCTTTGTATTAAGCGAGCTGCCACACAAAGTACAGCTTAACATGCCTTAACCTTTGGTAGAGAGCTACAGTTAGCTAACTTCATGTTCAACACAAAACCTCTAATGGCATTACATTGACGATTTTAAACAAAACGTAACTCTCTCAACTTGTAAGATAACGTTAAGTTAACTTACCCTTAAATAACTACATCACGTTTTTCAGGGGAAACACAAACTGCAGAAAACGTTAGCTGCTAACTGTTGTTAGCTAAGACAGCTAGCCTCCTAGCAAACATAAGGTTAAAGTGGACCTATCATGCTATATTTGAATAATATAGTGTAGGACCATACCTATATAAGGCATATTTATACTTTCTTTTTTTCAAAATACCAAACAGATCATGCATTTTAGCCATGCCTCATTTTGCTCAATTTGACCATTTCTAGCTCTGTTTTTGCAAGGGCTGATTCTGTGAGAACAGCGCCACTTACAGGCCTGGCATATGTACTACAGCGTACAGCCACGGCCATTGCCGTTCGAAAGCGCTGGAGACGCTGTAGTACATATGCCAGGCCTGTAAGTGGCGCTGTAGTCTGCCACAAAAGCAGCGAAGAAGACTTGGTTACCATGGTTACCCTTCTGTTTATTCTCCGCTGTGGCTTTCTTTCTCCCTCCCCGAGGCAAGCGTTTGCTCCTTCTGCTGCTTTAATTCAATGCAATCCCTCCCCGTCGAGGCAAGCACTGTAACTCTCTCCGGTTAGTCCACCAGCAGATGACAAACACCCACCTCTCCGCCTCTTCCAAGGAACGAGGGGACCGTGCGGCAGAGTTTCAGTTTCAGTTTCTTTCGCCGGTCAAGATGTCCGTTAAAGTTTAAATCTTCCGGACAAAATGAGAAAAGTGCCGGTCAAAGGTCTTCTTTGTCAGTGGCGTTTTTATATGTACAAAAGTGGTGGGGCACAAAAAACTTAGATGTCTATATATAAGCTTCTGCAGTGACGTGCAGTGAGATTCATGGCTGGTGAGGCACTGGCACTGACTCTTCAGGTTTACAAATATTCTATTTTGACCTAAACCAAAATATAATATTATTTTCAAAAGCTTTTTTTGTCAGATGCTTCGATTAATTTTAAACACAGTTCAACAAAAGGATACCCAAAAAATTTAATTTTATCATTTAAATATTGAATTGTTCTCTCTTAGTAAGATCCCATTTTCAATAAAATTGCGGTCTTATCCTTCTGGACAAAAAATTCTATTACTTTTTTGTAAAAGTCCTCCTTATCTTCTTGTAGTTTCAAAAGTCTATCATAAATCTAATCGATAGATTTATGATTAAAAAATTATAAAAGTAGGGTAGACATGTGGACATTATCCGGCTGAACAAAACGTGCATTTATCTAACAGGTAAGTTTCCCACAGATCTTATTTTTAGCTATTTTCTAAAATCCTATGGAGAAATCTCATTGCTTTTTTGTCGAGGGAAGCCGTTCTTATTATACATCCATGGGGAAGCCATGCGCAGCTTACTTCCGGGTTTTAGGACGCGTCACTGCCGCTCTCTCGTCTCCTCTTCACACACCACACTTTTCGCGGCACACGTACTTACAGCCAATCAGCTCTGAATTATGTGAGATGACGTATGGTGGGGATGGCAGCTCAGTGCCCCTATGGTCATTATTTTTTTGCCACACACATTAAATAGGAAAATACTCTGAGCATGCGCAGTGTCGTTTTACAGTCACCGTTCACTTAGACAGTGAGAGGGAGGGGCATGATCAGGTTTTGTCCCACATGGCTCTAAACAGCTCAATAGGCACACACTGTAGACACTAATTAGAAGAACACAGACTAAAACAGCAATGTACAGACGAATCAGATGATTAACCATGATCTTAAAATATATTTTATATACTTTTTTTTTTTTTTGTAATCATTATTTGTAATACTTTTTGCTGACACTAGGTGGGGCTGTGCCTGCCCCTAATGACCAGTCGCCACTGTTCTTTGTTATTTATTGAGCTTTAAAACAAATGAATAACGACTCTATAGGCCTATAATAACACGGAGGACGGAGATCTCTTTTTCTCCCCCTCTTCTGACAGCCCAGCAGCTGATCAGAGCACGTCTCCCCTCTCCTGCAGGGGGGCGTGGTCAGCTGCAGCTCACAAAATCAGACCCGTAGACAGCAAACAACACATAGAGCGAAATGAGGCATGGCTAAAATGCATGATCTGTTTGGTATTTCGAAAACAGAAACGTATAAATATACCTTATATAGGTATGGCCCTACAATATATAATTTAAACATAGCATGATAGGTTTCCTTTAACATTAACGTATGTTGTAAGAAAGCAAAACGAACCTTCGAGAAAGCTTTTACTCTCAGACTTGGTGAAATTGTGTAGTGTTGCTTACCTCCAGAAGGACTTTTAGCGCGTTTCCCAGTAGACAGAGCTGTCAGAGCGGTGCCTCTCAGAAGAGCAGCCGCTGGGCGGAGTCACAGAAACGCTCAACTGATCTACTTCACTCCTCAACCGTTGTGCCGTTACCCGTTAGTGCCGTTAGTGCCAGTCAAAACATACCGCTTTGTTTCAACCACTGCCGTTTCGCCGTCCCCCCGTGTCCCGCCCTCTCTGTCTGTCTGTGTCTGTTTCAGTTTAGCCAGCAAAACTGCTGGTAGACCAGCATAAATACCAGCTTCACCAGCATCCAGCTTAATTTAAAATATGACATCCATGCTGGTCTATGCTGTTTTTTTCAGCAGACACGGTGGAGAGAATGCAGAGACTGGGAGCTGCTGTGATGTGAGGAAAGTGAAACTTAAGGGAGGGAGGAGGTGCAGCAGCTCCTATAAGAGCGGAGACCCCCCCACCGGCTCCTCCGTAACTCTCTGCCCAGGATGGGAGTCCAAGGCCTGACCACTCTGCTGGAGAAACACCGGAGGATCTACCGGGATCTCCACCTCTCTCACAGGCGGCTGCTGATCGACGGCAGCAACCTCTACCACCGGCTGTACTTCAACTCAGGTGAGTACTGCAGTACACAGAACAGTAGCCTACTCAGATCTTGCACTTGAGTAAAAGTAAAAGTACTCAGATCTTGTACTTGAGTAAAAGTAGAAGTCGGCTACTCGGATATTGTACTTGAGCAAAAGTAGAAGTACCAGAGTGTAGGAATACTTTATTACAGTAAAAGTCCTGCATTCAAAATGTTACTCAAGTAAAAGTAGAAAAGTATTATCATCAAAATATAGTTAAAGTACCAAAAGTAAAAGTCGTCATTGTGCAGATTGGTCCATTTCAGAATAATATATGTTTTATAATTATTGATCATTAAAGTGTTATCAAAGCTGGTAAAGGTGCAGCTAGTTTGAATGACTTTGTATACTGCAAGGTAGCTTGTGAATTTACTCCAGGTGTAACTAAAGTCTGATTTAAGACTATATTATATTTCACATCATAAATCCAAATCTGTCAAGTAACTAAAGGTATTCAATAAATGTAGTGGAGTAAAAGTACACCATTCACCTATGAACTGCAGTGGAGTAGAGTACAACGTACCTTAAAAATGGACTTTTAACTGAAGGTAGATAGTGTAGAAATACTGTAAGACAAGCAAAAGTCCTGCATTCAAACTCTTACTTCAGTACCAAAAGTAAAATAACTCGTTTGCTATTTAGGAATCGTATATAATAATAATTTTATTTATAGAGTTAAAAAGTTATGTTGTTAATAAATTAAAGCAGACTCGTACTTCCCCCGCTGGTAATGTCTCTATACAGTACGAGTATATATACTGACAGATCATCATATTGGATTGTAGTCCTAGAGACACAGCTCTGATGACGTCAGTGTACTAAAAATACATTTATGAGTTTTTATGAACTGTTAAGGGTTTATTTGAGTAGAAGAAGGAATCAAAGTCAAAGGTTAACTTTATTGTCAATATTTCAGTTTTGTGTACAGACAGAGATCGAAATACTGTTTCCCACAATACAGAGGAGTACAAATATATAGGCTATATAAAAAAAGAAATACATATATGTATATATACATACATACCTGTACCCACACTTATATATATACACACATACATAATCAACATAGCATACCTGCAAATGTATATACAACTAACTGTTTTCTGTGTACTGTAACTTACCTCTGCTCTGTCTCTGTTTCAGTGTAATAAAATACACGGAGCCTGGCCTCTTTTTTTCCTCCCTCTCTTCTGACAGCGTCAGTGTCTGTCTCATGCAGCAGCTGATCCAGTAATGAGTGACCCGGCCGACAGTAAAAATAAACATTTATAACTAGTTTAGGTAGTTTGAGAGGTAATTAAAATAGCTAAGGGTGATGATCTGACTTGAAGTGTGTGTTTTGCTCCTCCCGCTGCATTACAGCATACACTGTGTATATCACCATTCTTTAATTAAATGTTTGATAAGTGCATGCAGATCACAGTACAGTAAAACACGTACACAGATACATTATTTTGTATTTTTATTAAATTTGACAATGTCAATTTCACTTTCCACTATGTCCACCTTTATTTTGCACAACCAATGGCAGAACTTTATTGAGGCCTGTAATTAGTCGACTACAGGTATCTTGGGTCAGTCTTTTTTCTTCCAAAAATCAGGAAGTAAAGTCCCCTGGTTTGTGACAAGATGTGAAGTCAACAGATAGTCACTCAGAAAGGGGTACTATTTCTTTTCAAATGCATATGGGCTATGCCACCCATTTACATGTAGGCTACACCGCTCTTCCAGTCAAGAATTTGAATTTGAATGGGATGGGGAGACGTGTGTGATTAAAAATGAGTGGCCAAACTAAGACTTCGTTTTTCAAAAGAGAAAATGCAGATATTACACTCATAAAAGAAATGGTAGACATATCAGTACTCTTAGTGCCAAGTTGTCTCAGACAATCTGCATTTCCTAATGTGGGACAGTTCTGTGCAAAATGTGGGACACTGAAAAGTCTATGTTAAAAAGCCTCAGTCACCTTAATTCATGTAATAAAAACATCTCAGGTCAGTAACACTCAAAGCTATATGTGCAATACCATGTTCAGCTATGTTACTATTTATAATGTTATTGTTGTTACAACAGAAGATGTTTTTCTTTAAATTGAAGTTAAATGCATCAATCTGGTGCACTTTGAGGGCAAAATTAAGAGATTTATGGATACCGCTGGAAAAAGCTGCAGTACATATGCCGAGCCTGTACGTAGCGCTGTAACTTCCTCCACAAAAGCAGCAAAGAAGCATGGTTGTCATGGTTGGCCTTCTGTTTATTCACCGTGGTGGGGGCCGAGGGAACCGGGCAGAGTTTTTCGCCGGTCAACGTGTGTTAAAGTTGAAATCTTCCGGACAAAATTATAAAAGTGCCGGTCAAAGGTCTTTGTTATTTATTGAGCTTTAAAACAAATGAATAACGACTATATAATAATAAAATACACGAGCCTGGCGTCTCTTTTTCCTCCCTCTTTTCTGACAGCGTCAGTGTCTGTCTCATGCAGCAGCTGATCCAGTAATGAGTGACCCGGCCGACAGTAAAAATAAACATTTATAACTAGTTTAGGTAGTTTGAGAGGTAATTAAAATAGCTAAGGGTGATGATCTGACTTGAAGTGTGTGTTTTGCTCCTCCCGCTGCATCACAGCATATACTGTGTATATCACCATTCTTTAATTAAATGTTTGATAAGTGCATGCAGATCACAGTACAGCAAAACACGTACACAGATACTGATACTGATATGTCTACCATTTCTTTTATGAGTGTAATATCTGCATTTTCTCTTTTGGTTTGATTAGGACACATCCTGGGGATTTCAGAATGGTACTGGGTGTTGATTTATTCTATTGGCTTCATATCGCAATATATTCCAGAAGTCTGAAATGCAAAAAATGTCCCACATTAGGGCAATTCACCCTACTTAACCCCAAATAAAAGAACCCAATAAAAAGAGTTGTTAAATAATAGTGAAGTCACGTTGTAATAACAATAACTCATCTCTCGGTTTGAGTGTTCTTTTTCTGCTTTGCCAAAAGCCACTGTGTCAAGTGTCTAGTGACTATTTCTCTTAGCGGATGCATGTCAATTTAAATCAATACATACAACTATTTTTGAAATCAATAAAATCATTTTCTAAATCCATAAAAGCATTTCAATTAATATTGGGAGTCATGTCGTTACTTTGTTGAGAATGTGGCCATGTAATAAGCGGGATAATTTGCAGCTACTTGGTCATCATGGGGAAAATAACACCCGTCGGGATCCTGATCTGCCTGACGAGTCTCCATTCAAATATAAATATTTTTAGTGAATTACTGAGTTTAGGCACGTTAATAACGTTTTAATGAAGTTGAATGCAGTATATTCATATATGTCAGTGATTTCATGTCAATTCGGCGAACATAAACATAAATGATCGTGGTGAAGATGATGATTAAATTAGGATTAAAAATCGAGAGCCGGGCTGCATTTCCTGTCGTTCGTTTTCTTCGACTAAACAACATTATTTTGTTAAATAACAACATGGTGATGTTTTGTAAATGATTACATGTCTCTTGTTTAGCACAGAGTATGATCCTATCCGTGACATATGGATCTTAACAAAGATCCACTATACAGTAGTACCAGACATACTGTACATCCAGCGTACTGTATCAGAGTTGATTTCACATGAGCTCCAGTGTGGAACCCCACTGCACCCCCTGGTGGATCAATGATCCATTGCAGCTGGCTTCATTATAATTACATTTATTTATCACGGGGGCGGTCTCAAGTCAAGCTGGAGGTTGTGTCTTGATCGAGGGCAGACCCCGTGCCGACCACAGCCCTCGCGTTTCAAACTGTCCTAAATTAGGTGCTACTGTACATCTGTAGATCTCTTAATTTTGCTCTCAAAGTGCACCAGATTGATGCATTTAACTTCAATATTTAAAGAAAAATCTTCCCGGGGGAGCATGCCCCCAGACCCCCCTAGAGGAGGTGAGGACCCCCCTAGAGGAGGTTAGGTCCACTCCCCACTTGTAAAAATAGCACTTTACCACTGTAGCGCCCGGTACCTTAATGGGAAACCCTACATGTTTGAGCACCCTCTATGAAACGTCAAGCTACCCCACAGCACCCCCAAAAGAAAATCTCTGGCGCCACCACTGTGGGCTAAGCCCCAAATGTTTCCAGGTCCAGGAAACGCCCCTGGTCTAAGTTATCTCAGTGGGTCTCAAACGGTTTGGTCACAATTTATGTAAACAAATATTTCCAAGGCACACCTTTATAATTATTAGGATAAATAACAACAGGTTTGAAATCATTCCAATGTATACTATAGGACAGTAACCAATAATATCGTTTAAAACTGGAGATATTAAAAAAAATGCATGAATAGATAAATGTTAACTAAAAATAAGATATAAATGAACAACAAAAATAAAATACGTTACATTTATTTGTTATTGGCTATGGTAGGTTATTGGTTATGTACACATACTTATTTGATTATTAAAATGTAAACCGATCCTTTTCATATGGGTGTTTAAAGTTGTACCTCCTAGATCTAGTCTCTAGTAATTCTGCTCAAAGTGCACCAGATTGAAGCATTTTACTTTAAAATGTTTAAAAATATCTTTCCGGGGGGCATACCCCCGGACCCCCCTAGAGGATGTGACGTCCACCCCCCAATTAAAACATGTTCATACAATAATGAATACATTTGCACCCACTAGCACCCCGTCGGCGGCGGCGTTCGCGACACAGGGCTTCATCACATAACTTTACATGGGGCCAGAAGTTGGAGTACCAAACACTGACTCCTGGTACTCATCTGAGTACCTCACTGAGAAGGTTATGTGCACCCCTCTTAATAAGCACCGTAACTTTCATGATATAATTTCTTGGTTATAATCGGTTGTTTCCGTGAACGGCCGAATGTTGTGTGATGGCAAATGCTGCGGCCGCAAGTCATTTTCAAACCTCCTTTCCTATCATCTAGACCAGGGGTTCCCAACCTTTATTGTGCCAAGGACCGGCAGATACATTAAAAAAAAATCGCGGACCGGTTGTCAATTTTAACTGATTTTAATATTTACTCACCACCAGCAGGTAGCAACAGAGGCTAATTGTATGTAACAGCCTGAACAAATACTAGAACAATATGCATCCAAAACATATTAACAAAGTTTAAAAAAGAACCGGTGTTGTTTTTTGGTTTTTCGGAAAACCAAAAAACCGACGTTATTCAGTTTTTAAACCAAAACGGGAAAACAGATAAATCAACGTTTTGGTTTTGTTTGTATGATTTACGGATAATCCAGTGAATGCTGGGAAAACGAGGAGAAGGCGCATTATGAAGGAGATGTCCGGTCGCCAGTGTGTGTGTGTGTGTGTGTGTGTGTGTGTGTGTGTGTGTGTGTGTGTGTGTGTGTGTGTGTGTGTGTGTGTGTGTGTGTGTGTGTGTGTGTGTGTGTGTGTGTGTGTGTGTGTGTGTGTGTGTGTGTGTCACTGGCATTTGTTTTCAGAAGATATTATGATAGTGTCGTTCGTTCCGGTGCACTCCCGACAGCATAGCACTACATCGAGATTAAGATTAAACTAATTTATTTTGGGAACAGCCGCATATGCCGGTGTCGGACAGACACAAACACACCGAACACACAGAGCTGAGCTGAGCAGAGCACATACACACACACATCATGCGCCTTGGTGACTGACTGGACATATCCTTCATAAAACTAATAAAAGGGGGAGTAATCGGGCAGTTCGATGTGTGTAGATGTGTGTGTGGTTAACACGTAGCAGCCTGCAGTCACTCTTAAACTGTTCTGATTAAGTTAAACACAACGAAGGCGGTGCGTAAAAAGGCACAGCTCTTTACCGAGTATACGTCCCGCTGCCTCCTGATGCTTCAGCCATTTCATGAAGTGAAGGAGGGTTTCCTTCTATAAAACAGCTGCGGGCAGCAGATACCGTGAGAGTCCCGGACATTAATTCATAGATCAAGGCAGACTGGTTTACTCTCCTGTTTTGCCAATCCGGTGCTTAAACAAATAGCTCTACACTCCTGGCCGACATGTCCTTAAAATGAAGTCCGAGTTTGAAATATATCTCAAATAATGTATGCACCACCATTTCCCCACATAAACATAACAGTCTGCAATCAAACGGTTGTCTCCTGTGCGCTCCTCTTCCTACTTGGCGCACTGGTAACATGCTCGTGCGCACAAGAGGCTGAGACCTTAGGCTGAGCCGCCGAATCCCTCGGAACATCATAAAAGCCATTTTCAACGGTTTTCTGGTGAAAGATTAACTAGCTACTGGATGAAATAATATGACTGGTGGCATAGGTGCGAAAATTAAACACTTTTTGAAAAAATTATTATGATAAAATATTTTTATATATTTATAATTCTGCAAATATTACGATAAACTCACAGCTATTTCGCGGCCCGGCAGTAACACCTCCGCGGCCCGGTACCGGTCCGCGGACCGGGGGTTGGGAACCCCTGATCTAGACTAGAGAATTCAAACGGCTCTTATAATGGCGGCCACTGAGGTACTTCCGGGTCATTTCACTCCGTTAGGAAGGTTCCTAAGCAAAACTGACAATTCGACTGCAGCCCAAGAATAGAGTTTGGGTTGCATATTTAAACACAGAGAGAGGAGAAAGGGAGGGGTTGAGCTTGGTGATAATGAAAGAAGCATTCTGGAAGTTTAGGGAGGCCATATCAGGATGTTCTCAGTTCAACTGAGTTGAAGGTCATACTGTTGGTGCACATAGAGTGTAACTAACAACATTGCAACACATTTTCTTAATACGGAATTTTCCCATAGCTAAAATGTGTGAGAAGTAGTAAATATAGATAAATATTAGCAAATAACAATCACACAATGATTCTATTTAAGTAAGTAAATGAGCAGAATATTTTTCTATGACAGTCCACTGGTCTCCGTTGTGTTTTGAGCTTCTTGCAGCGTTTTGTATTTGCAGCGTTTGGTTTCTGCGGCTTTTAGTAAACGCTGCGCATGTTTCCTCAAGTTGCTGAATGTTTTCTAAATGCTGCATGTGTTGTCAAGTTGCTGAAGATGTTTCTGCATGTGTCCAGGAACATTTGTGTTTTTATATTTGCACTGTTATAAAACCGCAGGATGTTCCTCCTAATGGAAATGTTTTATGCCGTTGTAGAGCGTTTACACCTGTCAGCCACCGTAAAAAAGTATCTTAAAAAACCCAACTCAGTAAACACTGTAACTTTATTTGATCATTTTGCAAAAATCAGCGTAATGCTCATATTTCTCCTTTTGGTTTAACATATTGTTGAATGTTTATAACATATAAACACTTTAGTTAGTAAGATGTGGTTCAATAAGCAGCGTAACTTACACAATCTGCGTTTGGTTGTTTCTGTGAATGGTTATGTTTGGTTAGTGCATGGAATTGTGGGACAGCATCATCTCCTCTCCTTTCCTAAAGGATGGTGTATCCTAAAGGAGATAATAAAGGAAGCATTGAGGCTCCTTTCCTATGATCTAAAGAACTCTCTTATCATAGCTGCAGCTTAAAGACTTCCGGGCCAATTCCTCAGCTAGAAACTTCCTGAGAGGAAAAGAAGGTTTGCAGAGCATGTGTGAAAAGAGCTTTCGTATTGCTGTGTTCAATGTGTTCCTTGTGTTTCCTGTTATTGACTGCTCAGGTCTGGACCAGAATCACGGCGGGGAGTATGCTGCGTTCGCGGCCCTTATTGAGAGGTTTGTTAAAGCGCTCAGAGACTGTCAGATCACGCCCTACATAGTGCTGGACGGAGGATCGGACATCTTAGAAAAGAAGAATGAAACCGTGATGCAGAGAGCAGTGGATCGGATCAAACAAGCGCATCGAGCGGCGCAGGGCGGCCAGCGCAAGAACATCATGCCGACGCTGGTGAAGCTGGTGTTCCGACAGACGCTGAGGCGGCTGGACGTCCAGGTGGCTCAGTGCTATGGAGAGGCTGACCCGGAGATCGCCGCCCTGGCCCGGGAGTGGCAGTGCCCGGTGCTTTCCGGAGACAGCGACTTCTACATCTACGACCTTCCGGAGGGGCTACTGCCCCTCTCAGACTTCCAGTGGGAGGCGGTTGAGCGGAGGGGCTCCAACAGCTACATCCCCTGCAAGAGCTACAACACCTCCAGCTTCTGCATCTTCTTTCAAATCCAGCGCCAGCTCCTGCCCGCCTTCGCCGCCCTGGCCGGGAACGACTACGTGAAGCCACACCGGCTGCAGGCGGGCGTCAGCTGGAATCAGTTCGCCCCGGCAGGCGGCGGGAACACGGGCCACCTGGACGGGCTGCTGTGCTGGCTGCAGAACTTCCAGAAGCCTCAGGAGGCCTTCGAGGCGGCGCTGGGGCTGATGGGAGAACTGAGCGGCAACAAAAAGGCGGAGGTGATGAAGGGCTTGAATCTGGGGATGGAGGAGTACCAACTTCCTCCCAGCGCCCTCAAAAAGTTCTTCATCCATGGGATAGCACCTCCATTCTCCACAGAAGTAATGATAATATATAACATTTAACTTTCATCCAAAGAGACTCAATATTCACCTCCATTCTTCACCTGATATAGGTCGCTTCCACATTTTGTGTGCCTTATTTTGTGTTCCAACTTCCGTTCAGAGCTATTACTTTGATATCAGCTTTATAGACCGTTTCTTGCCAAATAAAGTTTTTCCAAATAATGCATATCTGGGGATTACTGCGCTGTTTGGACCTGGGAAGAGCTGTTGGGCAGTATACAAAGTCATTAAAACTAGCTGCACCTTTACCAGCTTTGACAACACTTTAATGCATCAAAGATTATAAAACATATATATATTATTCTGAAATGGACCAATCTGCACAATGACTACTTTAAATGTTGCTACTTTAAAGGGGACCTATCATGCAAAATGCACTTTTGTACGTCTTTTATACATGAATATGTGTCCCCGGTGTTCCAGGGAACTCACCAAGTGTCAGAAAACACAACCCTCTCTATTTTCCTCCATACCCAAATCTCTAAAAAAGGGGCTGCAACGGATCTGATAAAAACTGATCCAGATTTGAACTGAAGTGGCGCTACGGCTATTGGGCCAACTCCACCAATCAGGAGGAGACAGCCACGGACATTGCCGTTTGAAAGCACTGGATACGCTATAGTACATATGCCAGGCCTGTAGATGGTGCTGTTCTCACATAATCTGCCCTTGCAAAAACAGAGCAATTTTTTTTCAAATTGAGCAAAATGAGGCATGGCTAAAATGCATGATCTGTTTGGTATTTTGAAAAAAAAAAAGTATAAATATGCCTTACTGTATATAGGTATGGTCCGATACTATATTATTCAAATATAGCATGATAGGTCCACTTTAACTATATTTTGATGATAATACTTGTTCTACTTTTACTTCAGTAACATTTTGAATGCAGGACTTTTACTGTAACAGAGTATTCCTACACTCTGGTACTTCTACTTTTACTCAAGTACAAGATCTGAGTACTTCTACTTTTACTCAAGTACAAGATCTGAGTTCTTCTACTTTTACCCAAGTACAGGATCTGAGTACTTCTACTTTTACCCAAGTACAAGATCTGAGTTCTTCTACTTTAACTCCAGTACAGGATGCGAGTCCTTCTCCTCTAACAAGTATCCTCACGTTGTCCCCCTGGAGGTGGCTGGTGTCCCGGACTGGTTCCGGCTGCCTCTGATTCAGGCCTGGCTGCCGGCGGAATTCCTGGACGTGCTGCTGCTGCAGAGGATGAGATTCAGCGTCTTCGTGGATCTCGCCGCCGCACCAAGCGCTCACCTTACCGCCAGGCCGCTGCGGCAGGTGATGTACGGGCTGCTGCTGGGCGAGGGCAGGGAGGTGATAGAGCGAGATAGGGAGGGGCTGCAGCTGAGGCTCATCCCCGTGAAGACCGCCTCCACAGCAAGCTCCCTGCAGCTCTCACTGCAAACACTGGATAAGGTGGGTTCGTGCATCTTTACATTTGGTATTTATGTCTTTATACTGTGGTGGAGTGATGTCGTGTTATTTCTGTGTTGGACCCTGAAGGAATCATCTCCCTGGTCCAATGGGATACCTCCATGTGATTGTGGATTCTTTTATGATAAAAGAATGTCTGTAACAAACGTATATGAGACTTACATGTTTAGTTCAGTAGGATAATCTCCACATGCTAACACCACTTTAAGATTTCTGAAGTAAAATGCTAATGTTGGGCTATAAAGGAACTACAGCACGGTCACATGACTTCACGTCACCACCGCTAAGCTAAAGGCGGCTAATGTTGGGCTATAAAGGAAGTAATGCACGGTCACATGACTTCACGTCACCACCGCTAAGTTAAAGGCGGCTAATGTTGGGCTATAAAGGAACTACAGCATGGTCACATGACTTCACGTCACCACCTCTAAGCTAAAGGCGGCTAATGTTGGGCTATAAAGGAACTACAGCACGGTCACATGACTTCACGTCACCATCGCTAAGCTAAAGGTGGCTAATGTTGGGCTATAAAGGAACTACAGCACGGCCACATGACTTCACGTCACCACCTCTAAGCTAAAGGCAGCTAATGTTGGGCTATAAAGGAACTACAGCACGGCCACATGACTTCTCGTCACCACCGCTAAGCTAAAGGCGGCTAATGTTGGGCGTGATGACGTTGAGTCGTGTCATTTAGACACTTGTTAGCCAGTTTTAATGTTTTTTAAATGGGGACATCTCCTCCTCCTCTCCCAGGCGGAGGCCTCTCTACGTCTGCAGGTTCTCCTTGAGGCCCTGGGGGTCCCTGAGGCCTCCTTGGCCCCTGTGCCTCCCGCCCTGCGCCTCCCTGTGTGCGTCACCTGCTTCTGGCTGCAGAGAGCCCAGCCTCCTGCAGACGAGGAGGTGCTGAAGGCTCTGCTGCTCGGGCTGAGCTCCGGAGACGCCTTCAGGGCAGGTAAAAAAACACACTCATTAAAAGATGAGAGCAGCGCTGCGTCACTTCCTGTCATTAATACCGCCACGCCCAATTTCCAGTGAAACCGTTCTCTTGATAATTGAAATGTAATTCTGTAAATTAAATAAAGCTGTGAATTGATTATGAGGGAAAAAATAATACAATGTTTCCCTCAGAGATGTAGTGGAGTGGAATCAACAAATAAAGCATCAAAAGTACCTCAAAATTGTACCTGAATAAATGTACTCAGGTATATCAAATGTCAGACAATGAAAACAAATAGGAATACAGCCTGTGACTCAGAGGTGTGTGTGTGTGTGTGTGTGTGTGTGTGTGTGTGTGTGTGTTTCAGCCCTGCCCCCCCCCAGACAGAAGCTGGACATGCAGGTGTCTCACTCTCTGAACCAGTGGCAGTCCTGCCTGAAGTCCAGCCTGCAGCTCAACCAACTGCTGGGCCGACCGCTACCTGAGCCCCCCCTCTCCAGGTGAGTCCTACCTGAATCCCTCCTCTCCAGGTTAGTCCTACCTGAGACCCCCCTCTCCAGGTGAGTACTACCTGAGCCCTCCCTCTCCAGGTGAGACTTTCCTATGTTCCAGTAGTAAACAAAGGAGTCCAATGGAGGCGTTTAGCCTTTGTAGACCATTTACATCTCCTCTCTTGGCACACCTAATGTTCTAGTTGTATCCAAACTATTTTTGCAATGAAATAAAATATTAAGTTGACCTCCACCCATCCCTCAGGTTGTTTGAGGGGACGTTGGTTCACCAGCTGGTGCACAGGATGAGGTACGGGGGAAAGAAGAGGCCTTTCCTGAAGGAGGACCCCTGCAGTGTGATGCTGTTCGAAGCCATTCAGGCCGTGGTGCACCAGATCCCCCCTCAAGAGAGCCACAGGACGGGGGAGGATCGGCAGAGGCAGCCTCTGGACGACCTGACCTCCACCCTGCAGCAGCTCTTCCCCCTGGAGGAGGAGGAGGAGGAGGAGGAGGAGGAGGCCAGCAGCTCGGGGTGGGTGCAGGAGGATCTGCGCCTCAGCGAGCTGCTGTCAGTGAAAACTCGTTTCAGAGCGAAACACAGGAAGAACCGGAGCAAGAACCCGGAGCTGGCCCGCAAAGAGGAGCGCCGCGACCGGGACCTGCTCTGAGCTCAAGGGAGGAAAACAAGCCGGGTTCATCAGACTCTCGTTAACGTCCCTCACATCAGTCTGATACATAATATTTACGTTATTCTGAAACAAGAAGCACTTCCTTTTTTAAATCTGCACACATTTTAATGCCAACACCTTTTTGCACATTTCTTTCTTCGTCTCTTTATGCCCTCAAGATTGTATATTTTTAATTAAGGGTGACCAGCACTTGTTTTTTCTTATTTGCCCTTAAAATGTGATGCACTGTTCGATTGTTATTGAAAACACAAAAGAGTTTTAATAAGTGGAATTCACTGTAAACATGTTATTTACAAAAACGTGATAATTGTGTTTCTTTAGTCTCATGAATGTTAACGCTTTGTTCCTCACGTACGTTCTTAGTGACTGTTTGTTGGAGACATTTTTGTGCATTCGTTTACTTTTATTACATTACATGTTACTTGTTAGACGCTTTTATCCAAAGCGACTTACATACTCAATACTGTGGGCAATCCCCACAGGAGCAATTTGGGGTGAAGCGTCTTGCCCAGGGACACAACGACATGCTGACTGCAGTGGGGTTTGAACCTGTGCTCCCCTGATCCGAACACCAACGCACTAACCCACTGCGCCACATGCCTCCCTTGTACTTGTATTTATAACTAAAATTCTTCTTTTATTCTTTCTCTTCTACTTATTTTTTATTGTTATCAATTGACTGTTTATTTGGTTTACTTTTACCAATTGTTTGATCTACTTTTGTATTATTAATGTTATTGTCGATTTGCCTTTGTTTAAATGTGTGGCATATATAGGTTAATTTAAAGGCTTTTTGAGTTGCTCCATGAATAGGTTTATTATTTTAATTGTTAATAAGACATCCATCAGTCAACAGTTAAGTCACAGACTGTTTTTGTGCGTATTTCTTTTTGTTTGTTTAATTATAGCAGCATGTTTTATTTACTATTTCAAATGTTGTAATCTTTCGTAAGACTCAGACATTTTAACTGCAAAGAAACTATTGTCACATCAAAAGGAAAATGTATGTAAATCTCTATTTTTCCAAACAATTCGCTTGTCTTATGTTTTTATGTTCACTCAATGAGGTAATAAAGGAGGATATAAATAAGGAAATGTTAAATACTTTGTTTTATGTTTTTAAATTGTGTTTTTATGTGACTAAACGTTCATCCTCCAGAAGACCCTGCAGGATCAACATATACCGACTCCCAAATTCTAATGGTAGACTAAATAAATAAATAAATAAAAGAACCCTCAACCCTATCCCTCACATAAAGTGTGATTAAAACAACCATAAACCCCCTTGAGAAACAAACATAAGAACCCTTAATAACCCTAACTTGTGATTTTGTTGGACCCTGCATGTTTTCCTCCATTCCTCCCCTAAAATCAACCTCAAGTGTCCCTAAAATACCTTAATAAAGTACACCTGGAACCACATCGAAAGAACAAGTGGAATCCAGCTGGGACCCCTAAAAGTCCTCTGGTTTCCTTTAGCATCCCCCTGAAACACCTTCTTATACCCCTCATAGTGCCGCAAGACCCCTTAAAACAACTGACTTGCCGTGGACTCCTACTCTGACACCGTGCAGGGGTCGCTCTCCCGGGCCTTCATGTTCTCTGACCTCCAGAACATCCTCCAGACCGCGGAGGGGACATGGCGCCGGGATTGGTGGCTCCCCGCCGGCTGAGGCAGCCCGGAGAGCCCCAGAGAGCCGAGGAAGATCCGCTCCTGGGTCTTCATCTCCTCCACATGTGAGAGCGTACACACACAGAGGAAACACACCGCTAGCAGTAGCAGCACTACGAGAGTCATGTTTGGCCTCATGTTGGACTGCACTTTCTCTGCTGCTTCCTCACCTGAAACGCTGCTCCCAGAGAGAGGGACGTTTGATTTAACCTGTGAAACCTCCCGGTGTGCAGCTGCATAATTAGCCGATATGTTAATGAGAAGCGGGCAGATACGCAAGTGATTAGGTGAGGGTGGGTGGCGGGAAGATACAGACTGATCTCAGGTCAGGTAGGGAATCAACAAATGGTGATTTCTGACACCAACAATAAAGTTTGCAAAACCGGACATGGAATTAGTTTGTTTAAACATTGTTGAATAATGTTTTGGTGAATAGTAATAATTATACCAACGTCTCTCCTCCATTCATGGCATAGTTGTATTCACCTGCCCTGCCCTTGGACCATTAAAGGCCGAATCTGTATGTCCCCATGACATTTTAGTTTACCACCACACACAACATATATGGAAAATGTGTGAACGAAAGCTCTTAAAACTAATTTATTGATCAAATAATACATTAAATAAATAAATCATATTAAGAGTAGGGTTGCTTTGTCAGTTGAGTTCATATCTAATCAAAACTTTCAAAACATTCAACAATTATTTAGCTGCCCCCCTGCAGCAGATTTGACCCATTTTCCATCGAGGTGGTTCCAGGACGTGTGCCCGCTTGCCAGAGGACCACTTGGGGTCAAACCAGACTGTATGGTTAAAACGAGATGTTTCCTGAGTTTCACTTTCTGTTTCCAAACTTTACAAAAACATCCTGCCAAGGGAGACAAGTAAGTCATTTAAATGAGGAACTTTTTAAATAACATGAGTTAATATCTCAAAATAATGAATGAATAATACAAAATAGAGACTTTATATTACAAAATAGAGACTTTATATTTCAAAATAAAAACTTTAGCCTATATTACAAAATAATGACTTAATATTACAAAATAATGACTTAATATCTCGAAATAAAGACTAAATATTTTTTAAATAATGGCTTAACACGGTGGAGAGAAGGCAGAGACTGTGTTAAGGTTCGGCAAAAGGTAGGACCCAAATGCAGATTAAAAGGGAAGCGGGTTTCAAAACAAAAGTGAGTGTAGGAGCCACATTTGAAGTAGTAGTTTCTGTGTTTATTACGGTACATGTTTTTGAGTCACTATAGGTGGTGGGCGTGTCAAAGGATTGGTGTGGTGACGTTTGCGGTTATATCCGGTTGCTTTTACCTGCACACTTTGTGATAGATGGAGGGGGAGTGAGCTGGAGAAGGACAATTTTTGTTGACCGCACGCACGCACGGACGCATGCACGCATAATATACATATGGATATGGACTATTGAACTTTTGCTAAGAAAATAAAAGGTCAAACGCATACTGTTTGGAAAGACTGAGTTTTTGCGCGTCCACAGTGTTTTTTCTCTTGTTTAGTCCCTCGCGGCACTTTGTTTGAAAGTTTACTGCCGCAATATTAAGTCAACAAAAAGACTTGTACCACAGCGTGGATCTACGGAAATCGAGGATATATACGGGGATTCCTAGGATCGAGCTGGAACGCTGTGGAATTAAAAGGAAACATTGAAACGCCGTTATCGCCGCTGTATTGGAGAGCGGCTTAAGGAAACTAACTTCAGCGTGCTGCCGCGGGAGGATAAAGACTGACGGACAATCCACACAGCAAGGAGCGAGCGGTATGTAACTTCTTCATTCATGCTGTGTAAATGTTTGTTTGAACACAGTGTGAATAAGTTACTGCTGCGTGTCCATTGGGGACTGACTTTTGCTTGCGTGTGGTGGTTTGTGCCGCTAGAGGTTGTCTATTGTCGGCAGCAGTGATTTACTGAGCGTTTGGCTGTGTGGATTGGAGCATTTGTTGTTCATTCATTAAAACATTAAAGGGATATGTCAAGAAGTGGATCAAATTCAGATGTCAATGTGGCAAAAATGGATGAACAGAAGAGAGAGTCGATACTCACTGCCAAGGCTTTGGCAAATAAAATGGAAAAGCTCCAAAAGGAACGTCAATCAAAGGTTCACAAAATGAAAAGTGTGATTAAGACAATGAAGGATCTCATGCAAAAGGATGACAACGCCTCACAAATACAAACTCAACTTGAGCATTTAATTCAACTGGTTAAAGAAACCACCCTGTTACACAAGTCTGTAATTCCTCTTCTTCCTGCAGACGAACAGGAAAAACAAAATGTATGGTTTGCCAAGACACTGAAATACAATAATGGATTTATCGACGATGTCAAGCAATGCCTTTCTGAAACTGGGAAACAACCGAGCAGCACCATTGCACATGTTCCCTCAATTGAGATATCTGATGAACACCAGCAAAGTATGTCTCATGTTTCAAAACACTCTGGGAGAAATGTTGAAACTTCTGAAGCACAAGATGAAATAAAACCAAGCGACAGTGTTTCAAACATAGGAAGCATTGGGTCTCGCAAGCGGAGCTCTGCTGGAACCAGGTCCAGTGTTTCAACTACATCATCATGCACCAAAGCTGAGGCTGACATGGCCGCTCTCTTGGCACGACAAAGGTTATTAAAAGACAAACATGCATTGGATGAACAAGAGGAAGAGCTCAGGAAAAAGAGGGAGCAACTGGAAATGGAAGTGGAAATAGCTGCATCAAGGGCTAAAATGAATGTGCTAAGACGCTCTGGAAGGTCTCATGCTGCAAGTAACACATCTGTGAGTCCCAATGGCATGCATTCTTATTTGGAAAGGGGACGAAAAGGAAGCCATACTCAGTGCTAGAGCAAAAACATTTGTGCCTGACACAAACAGGCCTACAGGTGGTCAGTCTGACGTACAGTTTTTGCACAGAGAACATGAAGCAGAATATGGACATCTGCAACATCAAGCCACAAGAAGCTCAGAGGCCAATATACATCAAAGTTCATCACAATCACATCCACAGTTACAGCAACAAAGCAATCACCCTGCAGCACCGGCACCAAGCAGCAGTGCTCAGAATCCTTTAATTAATGTCTTGGAAAGACAAAATGAAATAACATCCATGTTGGTTCAGCAACAGTCTCTTTCTTTTCTGCCTAAAAGAGAAATTCAGATTTTTGATGGCTCTCCGTTTCAATATCAAGCATTCATAAGAGCTTTTGAGCACAGCATTGAGGAGAAGACTCACAACCCTAAAGACTGCCTGTATTTTCTCGAACAGTACACCAGGGGGCAGCCTTTGGAGCTTGTCAGAAGCTGTCAGCATATGGCCCATGACAGAGGATATGCCAAAGCAAAGGCTTTGCTACAGGAGCATTTTGGTAATGCACAGAAAATTGTTTCGGCCTACATGGAAAAGGCTCTTTCATGGCAGCCAATAAAAGTAGAAGATGTGCAAGCTCTGCAAGCTTACGGTCTCTTTCTGAGAGGATGCTGTAACGTCATGGAAGAGTTTGAATACATGTGTGAGTTGAACATGCCTAGCAATATGCTAGCCATCATCAAAAAGTTGCCCTACAAATATAGGGACAAATGGAGAACTCTGGCCTATGACTTACAGAAAAGGCAGGGCCGGAGAGCTACATTCATGGACATTGTTAATTTCATTGAAAGACAGGTGGATATTGTGAGCGATCCACTGTTTGGAGATATACAGGATACTCCACCAGCAGCCAACAAAGATGTGAGGAAAGCTAAGTTTGAACCTCGTTCAAGGATGAGGGGAAGCAGCTTTGCTA